TGACCACCTTTTTCATATTTTGGTAGTATAGGAGTTTATATTATTTGGTCTTGTATTATGGACCTTAGTATAAGACTTTTTGGGTTTTAAGTTTATTGGACCTAGTTTTGGGCTTCACGGGCCTTTAGGTTTTTTATTGCTTCAAAGCTTAGTAAGCCTAATGGGTTTGGTGGGCCTAGGGTTTTCTTTACTTGGGCTTTACATGGATGTCTATCTTTCTCATATATTTGGTAGTATAGGAGTTTATATTGTTTGGTCTTGTATTATGGGCCTTAGTATAAGACTTTTTTGGTTTTAAGCTTATTGGGCCTAGTTTTGGGCTTCATGGGCCTTTGGACTTTTGATTGCTTTTGAGCTTAGTGAGCCCAATGGGTTTGATGGGCCTAAGGTTCTCTTTACTTGGGCTTTACATAGATGACCACCTTTCTCATATATTTGGTAGTATAGGAGTTTATATTGTTTGGTCTTGTATTATGGGCCTTAGTATAAGACTTTTTGGGTTTTAAGCTTATTGGGCCTAGTTTTGGGCTTCATGGGCCTTTGGACTTTTGATTGCTTTTGAGCTTAGTGAGCCCAATGGGTTTGATGGGCCTAAGGTTCTCTTTACTTGGGCTTTATATAGATGACCACCTTTCTCATATATTTGGTAGTATAGGAGTTTATATTGTTTGGTCTTGTATTATGGGCCTTAGTATAAGACTTTTTGGGTTTTAAGCTTATTGGGCCTAGTTTTGGGCTTCATGGGCCTTTGGACTTTTGATTGCTTTTGAGCTTAGTGAGCCCAATGGGTTTGATGGGCCTAAGGTTCTCTTTACTTGGGCTTTACATAGATGACCACCTTTCTCATATATTTGGTAGTATAGGAGTTTATATTGTTTGGTCTTGTATTATGGGCCTTAGTATAAGACTTTTTGGGTTTTAAGCTTATTGGGCCTAGTTTTGGGCTTCATGGGCCTTTGGACTTTTGATTGCTTTTGAGCTTAGTGAGCCCAATGGGTTTGATGGGCCTAAGGTTCTCTTTACTTGGGCTTTACATAGATGACCACCTTTCTCATATATTTGGTAGTATAGGAGTTTATATTGTTTGGTCTTGTATTATGGGCCTTAGTATAAGACTTTTTGGGTTTTAAGCTTATTGGGCCTAGTTTTGGGCTTCATGGGCCTTTGGACTTTTGATTGCTTTTGAGCTTAATGAGCCCAATGGGTTTGATGGGCCTAAGGTTCTCTTTACTTGGGCTTTACATAGATGACCACCTTTCTCATATATTTGGTAGTATAGGAGTTTATATTGTTTGGTCTTGTATTATGGGCCTTAGTATAAGACTTTTTGGGTTTTAAGCTTATTGGGCCTAGTTTTGGGCTTCATGGGCCTTTGGACTTTTGATTGCTTTTGAGCTTAATGAGCCCAATGGGTTTGATGGGCCTAAGGTTCTCTTTACTTGGGCTTTACATAGATGACCACCTTTCTCATATATTTGGTAGTATAGGAGTTTATATTGTTTGGTCTTGTATTATGGGCCTTAGTATAAGACTTTTTGGGTTTTAAGCTTATTGGGCCTAGTTTTGGGCTTCATGGGCCTTTGGACTTTTGATTGCTTTTGAGCTTAATGAGCCCAATGGGTTTGATGGGCCTAAGGTTCTCTTTACTTGGGCTTTACATAGATGACCACCTTTCTCATATATTTGGTAGTATAGGAGTTTATATTGTTTGGTCTTGTATTATGGGCCTTAGTATAAGACTTTTTGGGTTTTAAGCTTATTGGGCCTAGTTTTGGGCTTCATGGGCCTTTGGACTTTTGATTGCTTTTGAGCTTAGTGAGCCCAATGGGTTTGATGGGCCTAAGGTTCTCTTTACTTGGGCTTTACATAGATGACCACCTTTCTCATATATTTGGTAGTATAGGAGTTTATATTGTTTGGTCTTGTATTATGGGCCTTAGTATAAGACTTTTTGGGTTTTAAGCTTATTGGGCCTAGTTTTGGGCTTCATGGGCCTTTGGACTTTTGATTGCTTTTGAGCTTAGTGAGCCCAATGGGTTTGATGGGCCTAAGGTTCTCTTTACTTGGGCTTTACATAGATGACCACCTTTCTCATATATTTGGTAGTATAGGAGTTTATATTGTTTGGTCTTGTATTATGGGCCTTAGTATAAGACTTTTTGGGTTTTAAGCTTATTGGGCCTAGTTTTGGGCTTCATGGGCCTTTGGACTTTTGATTGCTTTTGAGCTTAGTGAGCCCAATGGGTTTGATGGGCCTAAGGTTCTCTTTACTTGGGCTTTACATAGATGACCACCTTTCTCATATATTTGGTAGTATAGGAGTTTATATTGTTTGGTCTTGTATTATGGGCCTTAGTATAAGACTTTTTGGGTTTTAAGCTTATTGGGCCTAGTTTTGGGCTTCATGGGCCTTTGGACTTTTGATTGCTTTTGAGCTTAGTGAGCCCAATGGGTTTGATGGGCCTAAGGTTCTCTTTACTTGGGCTTTACATAGATGACCACCTTTCTCATATATTTGGTAGTATAGGAGTTTATATTGTTTGGTCTTGTATTATGGGCCTTAGTATAAGACTTTTTGGGTTTTAAGCTTATTGGGCCTAGTTTTGGGTACAATATCTAATTGAGATCTGTCATCAGGACTGATCTTGGGGTTGCTTAGAGGTGTAATTGTCCAAGGTTCGTGTATAAGAGAGGCCCAATTTTTTTTAAGAAAATTATATAACTTTGTTATATAATTTTATATCATGTTAAAAAAAATCAAAATACTATTTTATATTAAAATATAAAAATATGACATGATTGTAAAGTCTTGTATTTTTTGTTAGCTTTTTTTCTTCTTATATTCATTGAAGGTAAAATCTATTTTTAGATCCTATAAAATTTTTCAACTTTAGTTGTATTCTCTCAAAAAAAAAATATCTTAATATTGTTCTTCTAATTTGGAGATACATCATTGTTGGTCTTCAAAATTATTTATATAACACTTTTATAATAAATGATAATACAAAAACAAATTGAATGAAAAATATAAAACACTTTTTTTAAAATTTGTTAGCATTGATTTTTATTAATGTAATGAAATATGTTATTTTTAATAATTAAAAGTTTAATACATCATTTTAACCTTAAAACTTTTTGGAATATTTAATTAGGCTAATAAAAAAAAAAAGTCCTTCAACTTTTATATTTTTATAATTTATAGGATTAGAAATTTGTTTACCAATCGTGAAGTATGACAGAATTTTTTTATATATATTATATATGCATAGTCACATCAATTATTATTCTATATATTATCATCTTTGTGTAACAAGTGTCAATCTACCCATAAAAATTATTATAATATCTTTGATCAAAAGAATTATTAAATAGTAAGAAATCTTAATGGGTAGAGATTAAAATCTAATACACATGGATGGTGATATGAAATAATATAATATAATTGTCCTAATATAACGATATAAAAAAAATATTCTATCAAATTTCATGGATAATAAACAAACCTCCAACCTTGACTAAATTATAAAAATATAAAAAAAAATAAAATAAAAAATAATATATATATATATATATA